CACTGGGTCACCCCAAATTCACCATCAGATCACATAGCAGGTCCATGGCTACATCTTGCACCCAAAAAATCACGCACCCACTGTTGCCTGGGGCCGCAGTGGTGCAAAAACGTGGTTACAAAGCATGGATCCACATGGATCCTCAGGATTTTTGCACTGGGCTACTCCAAACTCACTGTCAGATCACATGTCTGTGGCCACAGAATGAACCACAAAAATCATACATCCACTGTTTCGTTTAGAATATTTTTTTTCTTGTTTTCCTCCTCTAAGAACTACGTGCGTGTTATGGTCGGGTGCATGTTATAGAGCGAAAAATACGGTAATTGTTCCGGTTTTTGAACGTTCTTTGGAAGCCGAACGCCCTGCGTGGCTTCCATGGCTTCTGATTGGCTGCAGGAAGCTGTGCCTTGGTTCCTGAACTGTTTCGGGAATCAACCAGACTCCCAGAATGGATTAAATTTGGGAACCCAGGTTCCACTGTATCTGTAAAATACGCAAAACATTCAGATCCCATTCCAGTTGTTGCATATTATTGGGGGAGTGTGTTGAACTCCAACACAGTGCATACAGGACTCATAACACTTTGGGTAAAATTGAGTGAGATGTGACCTTCTCTCAAACTGAAAGTGGAAACTTGTTTTTACTACCGACACAGCAAGTTGTGGTGAAATCAATCACTGTGTGGAGAGCCAGGATATGACATAGGCTTCACTTATGTTCTTACTTGAAGGCTCAAAATAGGACATGGGCAGGGTGTAGGCTTTCTGTGTGGAAGTCCAATTCACCCTGGATAATAAAGTGCTTTTTAGCATGACATAGGAAGCCATACTAGTCTAATGCAGCAAAACCACCCAAAAGTCTTATGAAACCTTTAATTATTATCATGTTACCATGTTGTTGTTGTTTCTCATCACAGTAGGACTTGTGCAGTTCTTATTTAGGAAAGTGCTCTGTCACATGTGCAAAGTGCCATTGCCTCTATTTCTTCCTAAAAAAACTTTGGCAGGATTATTGTAATAACCTGCAGTTTTATAAGAGTATATATTTAAAGAAGATGAATAAACGAGCAAATTAAGTTAATTTGGATATGCAGAAGATATTAAAAATAAATTTAAGGAACCGCAGAAAGAGGGAGAAGGGAGTCAAGTTTTGAAATGTCAAAATGATGGTACAATTAGTGAAATGTATAAATTTGAAAAGTATAATTTTTTAAAAAAATTAAAAATGCACTTCCATGATCAGGGAGAGAACTTCTATGTGAGGGAGCCCAAGTATGATTTTGCAACAAGATTTACTCCATACTTCTCATACAGAAATCAGTGCCAAGCATAAGTTTTTGAATTCATTTTTCTTTATACCTACACATCTGTTGCCCAAAAACTAAAGCCAAAAACTTTTAAAATGCAAGGAAAACTTGCTTCCAGTTGCAAACAGATTTCCTCTCCCCACACCCCCTAAAATAAATAAAAGTAGTTGAACTATTCATCGTCCAATACCTTTTTCTCTAAATTCAAAGAGCAAAGCATTCCAACCAATAGACAATACAGTGGTACCTTGGGTTAAGTACTTAATTCGTTTCGGAGGTCCGTTCTTAACCTGAAACTGTTCTTAACCTGAAGCACCACTTTAGCTAATGGGGCCTCCCGCTGTAGCCGGAGCACGATTTTTGTTCTCATCCTAAAGCAAAGTTCTTAACCTGAAGCACTATTTCTGGGTTAGCAGCGTTTGTAACCTGAAGCGTATGTAACCTGAAGCGTATGTAACCCGAGGTACCACTGTAAATGAAATTAAACATACTGCTTCATTTGAGCCAGGGCACAGCAGAAGATATTTGTAGTGCATGGATCAGTCCCGGAAATGTGTAGTAGACATAGCTGCTATATGTGCATAGTTCATCACACCATACTAACCAAAATAAACTTTGGTTACGTCTGAGCTTGGCCAGGTCACTTTGCATAGGCTGGCCCGGAATTCCTCTGCAGCCTTTATTTCTCCCCTCACATCCCAAATAACCCAAACATTGCAATTTATTAATGTCTAGAGTTTAGGGGGCTACCCCCCAAATCTCTAGCAATACACATCCAGTTGCCTACGCACATTAAGAACATAAGGAGAGTCTTACTGGATCAGAGCAAAGGCCTATTTAGTCCAGCATTCTATGGTCACAGAGGTCCTGATTCCTGGTTCACTGGATTGACTCTGCCAGTGCATTTGGACAACACAAACCTCTCTGGTGCCTCACTCCTCTCCCTCCTGGTTATTAATAGTGACAACCTTCCCTGCCAGATTTCATAGAATTTCCTGGACTGGACTTTCCTTCTCCCCTTTGTGGGTCCTCTGGTTAATCATTTCCTTCTGCATCTTTTATAATAATCCAAATCTTTTACCTCTCCATTACAGTGGTACCTCGGGTTAAGTACTTAATTCGTTCCGGAGCTCCGTTCTTAACCTGAAACTGTTCTTAACCTGAAGCACCACTTTAGCTAATGGGGCCTCCTGCTGCTGCTGCACCGCCGGAGCACGATTTCTGTTCTCATCCTGAAGCAAAGTTCGTAACCTGAGGTACTATTTCTGGGTTAGCGGAGTCTGTAACCTGAAGCGCATGGTACCTCGGGTCTCTAACCCAAGGTACCACGGTATAGCAAAAATTCACCATTAAACTACAAGTGTTATTCCAATCCTACTAGCAATTTTAACTATTTAAAATGTTTTTTAAGATAAATTGTAAATTTCCCCCTTTCTTTATTACAATTTTGGTTTTCCTGATTTCTGATTCTTCTGGTCATTTCAGCCATTTCGGCATAATCCATCCGCTTCATCTGCCATTCTTCTCTGGTCGGGACTTTATACTCTTTCCATTTCAGGGCCAATAACATCTGCGCAGCCGTGGTCGTACACATCCATAGTCTTTTCTGCTCCGTTGGTATTTTGACACCTAAAATTCCTAAAAGAAAGGCTCTGGGCTTTTTAGAAAAAGTTATTTCAAACATTTTTTTCCAGTTCAGTATACAGTTGTACCTTGGTTTTTGAACAGCTTAGTTCACGAACAACTCCCCTGTCTAATGAAACACATAAGAAATAAGACAAACGATGCAAACTGTTGTAAGAATGTATTAGAAAAAAATATAAAGAATAAGCTAAAAATGACAGGTACATTCATCATCAGAATGAGAGTATACACCGGGAAATGATAGGAAGCCCAATTACATACTTTTAATTTATGTTAGTAAATAGATAAGACAATAAGAAATAGTAAAATATAAATTAAACTTAATTTCTGTAATTATATAGAACATTACTTGCATATGGTTTTTGTTTATACGGTTTATATTTTTGTTTATTCAAGAAGATGTACACCATATTTGTTCTATAAGATTGTCAATAAAGCATCAATAAAATAAAATAAAATAAAAAGTTCACGAACAACTTGGAACTCGAGCGTCACAAACCTGGAAGTAGGTGTTCCTGTTTGTGAACTTTGACTTGGAAGCCGAACGTCCGGCGCGACTTCCTCAGCTTCCGATTGGCTGCGGGATGTTCCTGCAGCCAATCGGAAGCCGAACATTGCTTTCTGAACGTTTGGGAAGTTGAACAGACTTCCGGGATGCATTCTGTTTGAAAACCAAGGTACGACTGTAATGAGAAGCATTTCCATTGCAACCAGTCTAGCTACTGCTTTCAGCTACAGACCAATATATCTTAGAGCCAAACTCAATCTGCTGCTCATCTATGGCATGAATTTTCCGCACCAACCCTGATAACTATGTAAAACAACCTCAGTAGTTCAGAAGGGACTTTGATACATCGTACACCTCCCCGAAGTAATTTCCTAAATCATTAAAAAATATTTCGAAGGCATCTCTCCCCTTGTTTCCTTCTCTTTCAAGTCCACACACAAAGCATCTGTCTCCGGGTTTCTCTTGCCCCTGTAAACACGCCACATGTTACTGAAACAGATGTTGGACAATTCCATGCAGAAGACAGATGCTGACGAGCTTTCATGTCATCAGAAGTGATATGTGGGAAAGCGGTACACACTATAATATTTCTGGCATTTCCTCTTCCTAAACACAAAAGCAAAAACTCAACACTTTACTTCTTTTATTATTTTTTGGAAAAAAAGAGCAGCCCAGATACGTTCAAAGGAACAGATCCCCAGTGATCTGCATTAATGAGATCCTGAGGAGCATTTTGCAGCCTGAACTCTCTGACCCCTCATAAAAACCAGAAATACCTTTTGTTCTAAAGGAGAGGAGGAGGGAATATTTCACTCTTAATTTCTCAGGGCCTTGTTTCTACAATTTAAATATGGAAAATTGCAAGGGTGCTAGAAATGCAGTTTGATGGTGCTGAAAAATGGGGTGGATGACATAATGGTTCCTTCAAAAAAGCGCGTAAAAAAATTGATAGTTGCTCAAGACCAAACTCTCCTTTTTGTAGCTATTTGTAGCTTAGGCGGAATTTTTTTCCGGCTGCTCCCACCATGAGAACGGAAAGATAATGATAACTTTTGCTGTTATTATTGGTTGCCATGCAGCATGTAAAGCAATGGAGAATGCTTTAAGTTGAAGCATCAAAGAATTTTTACAAGCTTGGCCTGAAGGTGTATGATGCAGCCATCATGCTAAAACTAAGCAGGGGTAGGTCTGGGCAGCGGCTGGATGGGAGATTCTTTCATAACCCGCAATGTATTATTTTGAGTCCCAGGGAAGAAAGGTGGGATATAAATAAAGCAAATTACTAGGTGGAATCCAATAGTGAGGTGGAGCTCTGTGCTACATACACAAATGCTTTACCAAGCGACATGCACAGCGCATAACCTGAGCCTTTAGAAATGTGGAATGAGCTCAACCCAAGTTCTCGTCATGAAAAGGTGAAATCGGCAACCTTGCGTACATTTTCCAAATTTGGCCTGCATGTGGTAGGTTATCTGAGCCTTGGGGAAGAATAAAAAGCAATGTTTACTTTTGAAATTCCTTCCAGTAGCACCTTAGAAACCAACTAAGTTTGTTATTGGTATGAGCTTTCATGTGCATGCACACTTCTTCAGATACCTGTGCATGCACACGAAAGCTCATACCAATAACAAACTTAGTTGGTCTCTAAGGTGCTACTGGAAGGATTTTTTTTTATTTTGTTTCGACTATGGCAGACCGACATGGCTACCTACCTGTAACTAGTACTTTTGAAATGTTTAAGATTTTGTTTTTGTTTTTTGTTAACTTGCTTCTGTTAAATATGTCTTCTGTAGTTGACCACTTTTGTAATGTTTTGTTTGGAAATCTTTGAGATGGTATTTTGGTTTCCTGTTAATTGTGTTGCTTTGACTGCGTACTTTATATTTGACTTTCTTTTTTTATAATTTTTTTAATTTTAACATATAAATTATAAAATGTACCACAAAACTTATCACTTATACAATCTTTTTAGACTTCCATCAGCACCTCTGATGATCCACCGTTTTAACCACTTCTTACGCATTTCTTAACTTTATATTGCCTTTACATCTCTTAACAAATCATCCTCCCCCTTGTCCATTTTTACAATACTTCTAATAATACTCCTCACAAAATTTCTTGCAACCCTACAAACGTCGTCTGTTCTTCACAATTACTTTTCAAATAGATCGTAAATTTACTCCAGTCTTCAGTGAATTTCTGGTCTCGCCGGTTTCGAATCCTTCCTGTTAGTTTATCTAATTCTGCATAGTCCATTAACTTCATCCTCCATTCTTCAATAGTCGGTAACTCTTCTTGCTTCCATTTTTGGGTCATATATTTGACTTTCTTCAGAAATGTTTGATTCTGCATTGCTTTACTGATGTTTAATATGCTGTAAACCGCTTTGACATTTTTCTTAAAAATATAAATGTTGGGTGCAGTGAAGGGTTAACCTTCTGTGTCTCGAGGCTGAGAGGAGGCGCTTACAAGGGAAGTAAGCCAGGACGTGACGAAAGCAGCTTGGAATGCTGTGAGCTGAGAAAAAAGTGAAAGCAGCTTTGTTACGCAGCTGCAAGCTGAGAGAGAAGGACGCAGAGGAAAATGCAGCTTGAATCAGATGGAATTTCTTGCTTGTAAATATGCTACCTTTGAGCAAATAAAGTGCTACTAGAACAGAAGAAACATGTGGGACTTGTTTTACTGCCCTTTCAACACGGACGCTGTGCAATTCTGCTAATTGCTTTACGACCTGCAGAGGAGTGCAGGGGAAGCGTGCCGGACGCCGAACACTAAAGCAATAAATCTACCTAACAATAAAGCAGTATAGAAATGAAATAATAATGATAATGATAATAATGCAGGATGCTGAAGCATCTTCTCACAGATTAGACCCCTAATCTCCCAGATCCTGTAATTGCCACCCTCATCTTCAAGACATTTCGACTTGGAAACAAACCCCATTGATTAAAGTGGGATTTAGTTCTAGTGAAATGACCTTAGATTGCGAGATTTCCCCAGATAAAGTTGCCTTTACAATGTTAAGCTTCTGTTTGTTGGCTAAAGAAGTGGGTGCTTGTGGAAAGAAATATTTCTCATGCACTGTAAAATCCCATGTTTTCATGGGAGCATATGGGCCCTGCTTCTGATGAGAACATGTAATCACCTTTTAATGAGGGTGAAAGAGGAGAGCGCAAAATATGGTCTGAAGCTCAACATCAAAAAAACGAAGATCATGGCCACTGGTCCCATCACCTCTTGGCAAACAGAAGGGGAAATTAAAAGACGCCTGCTTCTTGGGAGAAAAGGGATGACAAACCTAGACAGCATCTTAAAAAGCAGAGACATCACCTTGCCAACAAAGGTCCGTACAGTTAAAGCTATGGTTTTCCCAGTAGTGATGTATGGAAGTGAGAGCTGGACCATAAAGAAGGCTGATCACCAAAGAATTGATACTTTTGAATTATGGGGCTGGAGGAGGCTCTTGTGAGTCCCATGGACTACAAGAAGATCAAACCTATCCATTCTGATGGAAATCAGCCCTGAGTGCTCACTGGAAGGACAGATCCTGATGCTGAGGCTCCAATACTTTAGCCACCTCTTGAGAAGAGAAGACTCCCTGATGCTGGGAAAGATTGAGGGCACAAGGAGATGGGGACGACAGAGGACGAGATGGTTGGACATGAATTTAACCAAACTGTGGGAGGCAGTGGAAGACAGGAGTGCCTGTTGTGCTCTGGTCCATGGGGTCACGAAGAGTCGGTCACAACTAAACAACAACAATGTCTGTTATTCTAACTACAGCACAAAGAAAGGGTTGGTATTTGGGCTTTGGATGGGTATCTTAGCCAAAGCCGATGTTTGGAGCTAACCTAAAAAGCCACATGGAATGACAGCTTTTTGAGTTGGGATGGTGGAATGGCTTTGGTGTGAAAGAACCATGAGATCAGTTGCGTTCTGCCTGGCACAGAAAGGAAATTCCTAGGCCCAGCATGTGCCCAGAGCAGGGTGGATAAAAATCAATGTTGTTGGTTTTTTTAATCAAAAAAATCAGATTTTTAAATTTAAATCAGTTTAAAATAAAAATATTGGATTTTTAAAATAAAATGCTTTTGGAGGAAAAATCTTTCTAAAGATTTCTATTTAAGTTACATTATAGTCCAAAGGCAATTCATCAGGAAATAAGGATTTGTTTCAAGATTTTCATGTGCGCTAAAACTCACTCTGTGTTTTTAAAAAAGAAATGTTTATCCACATCAGTTAACAAATATGCTATAATGTTATTGTTTTAGCTAAATAAATTGTTTAAATTGTTATTAAGGAAATGACCATTTTTCTCCTTCCAATAAAATACAGCAGAAAAGTTGCCCAAATATAAATAGTGAACTTATCAAACCTCACCATAATTTCATAATTATCTATCTATGTATTTCTAATAGTATAACCAAAACAGTAATTTTTGATATAACTGTAAAAATTACTCTGAAAAGTTATTATTCCAAAAATGAAACCTTCATCTGGTTGTAAATATTAAGTTTATACTAGCAACAATGAGATTTTCTGTAAAAAAAAAGAAAAAAAAGATTTAAATCAATTCTTACTGACTAGTGATTTAAATCATGATTTACATGAAATCCACCCTGGCCCAGAGGCACCCTGTTCTTTAATTTTAAACTTTATGTCTTTTGCAGCTGGCTCACATGGAAATTGCCTTTTTACCCATTCAGACCATTGGTCCGTCAAGCTCAATGTTGTTTATACAGTGGTACCTTGCTTCTCAAACGCCTTGGTTCCCAAACACTGAAAACCCGGATGTAAGTGTTCCAGTTTTCAAACATTTTTTCCAAAGCCAAACGTCCAATGCGGTTGTCAGCTATTGTTTCTGGGGCGCCTCCACCAATCAGAAGTTGCACCTTGGTTTTTGAAAATTTCGGAAGTCAAACAGACTTCCGGAAGAGATCAAGTTTGGCACTTTTGTTTTTGCTATTTATTTTGCATTTTTGTTTTTGAGGCTTTTTCGGTTAATTTGTTTTTGTGACTGTGTGGAACCTAGTTCAGCTACTGATTGATTGATTGATTGATTGAGTGACTGCGGAAATGGATAAAAGCCCCCCATCCAAACAAAGACTATCATCAGTGCAGGGAAGAAGAAAAAATAATTTTATCATCTACAATACTGTCTTATTTATTTTATAGTACAGTACATTGATTATTGCTTTCATTTTATGGATCAATGGTCTTGTTAGATAGTAAAATTCATGTTAAATTGCTGTTTTAGGGGTTGTTTTTAAAAGTCTGGAACGGATTAATCCATTTTGCATTACTTTCTATGGGAAAGTGCGCCTTGGTTTTGGAACACTTGGGTTTTGGAAAGGACTTCCGGAACGGGTTAAGTTTGAGAAACAAGGTACCACTGTATTTGCTGACTGGCAATGACTTTTGGGGGTTTCAGGCAGGATTCTCTTCCAGCCCAAAGGCACCTTTTATCATATGCGGTGGTCTTGTAAGGTAATAAAAGCATTCTGGGAAATGATATATATTGAATTGAAAAAAATGTTTAAGATAACTTTTAAATTTTTTTAAAAAAGAGGCCTTTCTATTAGGAATTGTAGGTGCTGATATTCCAAGGGAGCAGAAAAGACTTTTTATCTATGCGATGACTGCAGCACGGATGCTAGTAGCCCAGAGATGGAAAGAAGATAAAGTCCCTACCAGAGAAGAATGGCAAATTAAATTGTTGGACCATGCCGAAATGGCAAAACTGATCGGAAAGCTCAGGAACCAAGGAATGGGATTTATTTTTTTAAAATAATTGATCTTGGAGACCACTGTATGCAGTTGAGAACATTAGCAAGATTGCAATAACACTTGTAATGTAGCAAATACTACAGAGATAATGGAGTTATAAAAAACATGGATTAGAAAAGGTTTAGCAACAGAACCCATGGAGAGGAAGATGGGAAGTCCAGAGATGCAGAGGAATCTATTATGGATGTGTGTTGTGGTATTATTATAATTGTATATTTGTAAAACCAAATAAAAAACATTTTTTGGGGGGGGAGGGAAGGATTCTCTTCCAACCCAACCTGGAAATGTCAGGCATTAAACCAGGGAGTTTCTGAATGCAAAGCAGATGTGTTACCACTGAGCTGCGCAGTCCCTCTTGATGGCAGATGTTGGGGTTCTGTTATTAATTTAATAATTCTAGAGAGAAAAACACACAAAGGAGATGCAACCAGTCCGAAGCCGGCTTATCCCTGCTCCCAGCTACATAAATGAGAAAAACGCAAAGATAGGACAACATCATGGAACACTGTTTTGTCATATCCTCTCCTGGGCGTAGCCAAGGACCAACCAGAACCATAATAATAATAATAATAATAATAATAATAATAATAATAATTTTTATTTATACCCCGCCCTCCCCAGCCAAGGCCGGGCTCAGAGCGGCTTACAAGCAATAATAAAAACAAGTTGAATGATTACAACTTAAAAACAAAATTAAAATACAACAATAAAATATTGAAACATTAAAATATTAAAATGTAGCCTCATCGCAGGAGGAGAAGGAAAAGAAAAAAGAAAGAGAGGGAGGGAATCACATTGGCTCCAGGCCAAAGGCCAGGCGGAACAACTCTGTCTTACAGGCCCTGCGGAAAG